TTTGGAAGTTGTATCCATGGGCGCTTTGCAAAGACCTTAGAAGAGCTTCTTCTTCATCCTTTATGTCGTCTACAGGAGTTTTTTCTGGTATTTGAATTGGAATTCCGGTTTCAATTTCGATTTTCAGCGCACCTCTTCCAGACAACAGAAGCTGAGGGACTTGTTGGCTTTGTCCTTGCGCAAGTACTGCTTAACAACTTCATTTATCTCTATAGGTAATTGCCTCATCTAATGGCTCGATGTTGTCCATTGCACTGCTTCAGAACAATACTTGTACTTTTTCAGAACAATACTTGTACTGTTTCAGAACAATACTTGTACTTTCAGAGACAATACTTGCACTGCTTCAGAACAATATTGTACTTTTTCAGAACAAGACTGTACTTTTTCAGAACAATACTTCAGAGAGATCAATTCCACGAATTATACAATTCTCAGAGCACTGTTCCACTTCTCGGGTCAGCCGTTACATCACCTCAGAAGGCGACATCCAACCAGTTCAGTAAACATCTCATTTTAACTCACTTTTTATGTTTTTTGTGAAAGTGTCAAAAATAATTGTTTTTCAGAGTTTTCTACGATGTTAGAAAAATGTTATTTTTAATATCTTCACATTCAATACTTTTTCAGACTTCTCCGTAGTTGTATATGAAAGACAATTCGAGATAAAAGTCATAGTACAATGGTATTATATGCTGCACACCGTTTGTTGTGAACAAACTTGAAAGTCAGAGAAGAGTTACTAGTGGTTCGTAGAATTAGAAGCAAAGTCATAAAAGTCCTTACCAATACATAGAAAACTATTGTTGCTTGAACTGAAACTTGCATGACACATAACATTTTGAGGTCAAACACGTTTCTATAAACTGTCAAATGCTGGTGGAAGTATAAATTTAAATGGACCATCTGGTGGTAATGGTTCGTTCTGGTTTAGTAACCGAAGAAATTGTGCCAAGAACGTTTGTCTACTTCCCAAAATAAAAACTGTGTATCTCTTGAGGGTTAATTTCAATCCTTTGAAATAAAAGTGGAGTTCATCTTGTCATATTCTAGTTTCAGATAGTATGTTCCATTTAGTAAAGAGTCGTATTTTTCTTGAAATTCCAATAATATTTTGTTCATTTGAGTTTGAAAGTCATTTAGAGTTTCTCAAAGACTTTCGTCTGAACGAACTGTAAAGATTCTCATTTCGTCAAATTTGTCTATTAGAGACCATCAGAACCTTTATACTGCCATGAAAATATACTGCGAACATTAAATGCGTTAGTTCTTTTGAAAACAAAACTCTTCTAAATCCTATTGCTTTGCATCTGAAGGACTTTTGAAGCCAACGAATGGATAGTCAAACCTGTAATGTTCGGGATGAAATTTCCTTCATCTGATATGTCCTACCAGCATTTGTAAAGATATAGTCTAACGGTTTTGTATCTGCTACTTTTTGTCTTTGTTTTTCAACTCTGAAGCCATTTAATATAGTTAAAAATATATTGTTTAAATAATATGCCATATAGCTTCTTGAATTGTTGAGAAATATATGAACGTGTTTTCCATCTGTATCTCTAGTGTTTAACATAAGCACAGCCTGCCTTAGTAAACATACTTGTAATTTTCTATAGTTTACGCCGGTATAAAGGTAAAAGAGTCCTGTTC